TTTATGATGGGTTGGAAATTAATTCCTTTTTCACTGGCGCTGGACTATCCATTCCCCACGTCACAGTGCAGAATGAGCTCGTAACTCTCTCGACTGCCTCGTGGCTGAGTTATGGGGTCTTCTGCAGCGTAGCCCAAAGGGTTTAATTTAATAGTGGATATTTGAAGAAAGCAATGGAGTTCTGACAAGTGTATGGTGCTTTTGCTGTCTGTACACTTGGAAAGTTTTGGTGGTGTTTTTTTGTTTTTTTTTTTTTTTTTTTTTTTTTTTTTTTTTTTTTTTTTTTTTTTTTTTTTTTTTTTTTTTTTTTTTTTTTTTTTTTTTTTTTTTTTTTTTTTTTTTTTTTTTTTTTTATGTTTGGCTGAAAGGTTCCTTGTTTTAAATTAAGCTCAGGACTTCTTGTCCTTTCCACAGGTTGGGGGCTGTTTTGAGTTTTTTTTTTCCCCCTTTCCTTTTTTGTTTGTCTGAAGACTGTAACCATGTCTCCATCTTCTCTACGCTCAGCATCACAAATGCTTTCCATCCTTCTTTGCCAACCATCTCCTATAGATTTCCAGTCACTGCTGTCTGTCTCCTCTGGACTGTCTCCAATTGTTCACACCGTCTGGGAGATCAGCATCCCAAACTGGACAACATGTTCCAGCTGGGGACCGCAACAGTGCGGAAGGCACGTGAGGGTAATTTGGACTTACTTACGCATGACATCGCTGCTGTGCTTTGATCCTGGTTGCCCTTGGCATGATCTTGAGCCTGTTTTTGGGGCAAGTGGGGTGAAGTGTTTCGGTTGCTGTCTGGGCCACCTGTTGTGATCTCCTTGTCACCATACAGGGGTGCTAATAAGGCCATCTGTCATAGGAACCTGCGTCTCGGATCAGGGATGCTCGGGTGAGCTAATACGAAAGGACAAAAAGTGCTGGCTGCTCGCAGGAGATAGAGCTTGTTAACCCCCCCCTGCAGATGCTCCTCTGTATACTTCCCTTCATGAGACTGTTTTAATGTGCCTGTTAATGTGCATCCTGTGCTGAGTCCCACCTTGGATGATTTGCCACGGCTTTCCCAAGTGTCTGTGTCGATGCCACGCAGGGTCCTCGTCTTGCATGTCCGGAGACTGGAGGAGCCACCAGTGACTTGGATTGAAACCCCTGCATGAGGTGTGGTTTGAGGTTACTCCCTGGCCATGCCACTGGTCCCTTTCCTGCCTGTTTAATGTTCCTTCCCAGTGGGAAGCAATTGATGATGTTGTGTCCCCTGGAGCACTCTTCTCCTCACAGAACTGTGGAGGAGCCATGGGGAGAGAAACCAGGTCCTTGCTCTTTCCTCATCCCTAGCTCTGCCTTTCTCATTTCCCCTCACAACCATCAGCTAACTCACGTGTTTTTTTTAAGGCCTAGCTTGTTTTTGGTCCTCTTAATGAGTAATAACATCTTAGTGACACTGTCCCGTGGCTTTGTTCCTTGCAGGGCAGCATCTAATCCTGTGGTGTTTGCTCAGTTGAATGGGTCACTCGTTTTACTGGACTTGCATAAGGGACATGATATGGATCTGAGGGGCTGGGCTCTTGCAAGAGGCTGATTATTGACTCACAGATTCATTTGGATTGGAAAAGACCTCTAAGATCATCAAGTCCAGCCATTAAATCAGCACTGCCAAGACCCCAAGAATCTTGGGGACTAAACCATGTCCCTAAGTGACACATCCACACGTTTTTTGGACACTTCCAGGGATGGTGATTTCAGCCCTTCCCTGGTCAGCCTGTTCCAGTGCTTGAACACCCTTTCAGTGGAGCAGTTTTTCCTAATATTTAATCTAAACCTCCCCTGGCAAAGCTTGAGGCAATTTCCTCTTGTCCTATCCTTTGTTACCTGGGAGAAGAGACTGACCCCCACCTGGCCACAACCTCCTGTCAGGCAGTTTGTAGGGAGTGATGATGTGCCCCCTGAGCCTCCTTTTCTCCAGAGTAAACAACCCCAGCTCTCTCAGCAGCTCCTCATTGGACTTCTTCTTCCTCCATCTTGACTTTGGGGTATGGAGAGCAAAACTGAGGCATCTAGCTGGGAAGCAGGACGGCAGATTAGAGTCACAAACAGGGATGGATTTGATCCCAGCCTGCCTGCTTGTAAGCCAGCCCAGCTGGAGGTGGAAGGAAGGGCAGGTCCAGCTGGAAGAGGTGAGTAGGAACCCTCAGCCTCCTGGGGGAAGGAGGGACTGAGATCCTTGAGTTGTTCTCCTCTTGTTCAGGACTGGGCCTAAATGGGATCTGACAAGCCCTGAAGACCTCACAACATTCCAGCAGCAGGGATGGAAATGCGGACTGACTGTGATGCTCTGGAGTAACTCCTTGGGTGATGCTTTGTGTAACCTCTGACTCAGTGGAAATGACCAGAGACCCTGAGAAATCCGTAGTGTTTCTCAGGATTCACCCCCAAATGAGTAAGTAAATCAGTGTAGCTGGGCTGCCTTGCCTTTAGCAGTGTATTTTAGGCAATCATCTCTTTCTGGCGTCACTTGGACGCTGTCTGCAGTCCAAACACTGACAAGTTCCGTGGGACAGCCCCCGTCTCCACCTCAAACGCGTCTCCTGGAGTCGGGCGATTAGATGAGACTCTTTCTCATCTAAGTGCTTTTTTTATCTTTCTAATCTGTGGAGGGAAGCTGGCAGATATCATCTTTGAAGGTAAGGAAAACGGAGCCAACGTTTTGTATTCCAGAAATCTCATTATTTTCCGACTAATATGCTGATTTTGGATGCTGGGGTTTGGCAGTGACACAAAGGTCATTGCTGAACAAAGCAGAAGCAGGTCCATCCTGGAAAAGGCTGCATGGGTAAAATATGCATTTTCTATGGGTGGAAAACATGAATTCTCTGGGTCATGTCAAGGAATGAAGCATGGTGGGTAATTTCCCTTTGGCTCTGACTTGATGAAAGCTTTTACAAGAGGAAAAAGTGTGTTTTAAGAAGTTACTTGATACTTATCTGTCCACAGTGCTTTTCCCAGGCTGGATTTGGGGAGGGATTATCTCAGATTTTCATTTAGTTTTGAAATCCTGGGTATTGGTTTTATAAACTAAAACCCTTTCGCAGCAGGTTGCTTGTTCTGCCTTGTTGTTTTAGCTTGATGCATAGGAAGGAATTTAAATTTCCTGAGTGGATGGGGCCCGGGCCTCGCCGGGGTAAATCGGCATCGTTCAAATATTTAAAGGCAGATGCATCAATACTGGCAGCTGAGGATCTGGCTTACTTTGATTAAAATCTGATTGAGATTACTCAGCCTTGCCAAGGGACTTGGATTACCAGTCTATAAAAAGAAGAGGAGGAGAGGAGAGGACATTAAATATAAAAATAATCCAATGAAGGACGTGGAGCTCAACTCACTGCAAATTGAACAGTAATGAAAACATCCTCCTTAAGCAGGTGGAGCAGCAGGGCTTGCAGGCAAGCAGTGGGCTTGGAGCTGGGGCTGAGGTAGAAATATTGCTCTTGGGTTTCTTGTGGGCATGGCCTCATCTTTTAAAGGCTTTTTTTTTTTTTTTTTTTTTTTTTTTTCCAAGAAGGGCCTCGCTCATTAAAAAATCCCCGAGGAAGCGTTGCGGGAGGAGATGTGGGTGACAAATCCTTCGGAAAATCCTTGCCTCTGCCTCCTCAGGAGACCTGGGCTAGTGCCAAATCTCACTAGCAAAGAGGTGATTGAAGCTGAGGAACAGAAAATCAACTCTCTTACAGATTTCAGAATGTGAAATGTGCTTTTGTCTTTAGGGCTTCTTACAGGGGCTGAATTTCAACTCTCCGCTTCCATTGCAGCATTTTTTTTCGCCCTGGCTTTTCATTCTTTTTTAAATGTAAAGAGTATTTAAGGGATGTTGTTATGCTGTGGGATCAGGCTCAATGGCCAGTGACTGATGGGGACACTGCACCAAGCCCGCTGCTTGCTGGGATGTTTCGGGAATCTGCCAAACCACTTGGCACATGTCTGGATTTTCCAAGATTTCTACAGCTTATGGTCCCTAAACCCTGGTCTAGTGGAAGGGGGGGTTGGAACTGGGTGATCTTTAAGGATCTTTAAGGAAGAGACCTAAAAGATCACCCAGTTCCAACCCCCCTGCCATGAGCAGGGGGTTGGAACTGGGTGATCTTTAAGGTCCCTTCCAACCCATTCTAGGGTTCTATGATTCCCTGTGCTCCTGTGAAGTGCTGTAGCCACACTTGGGTCCTAAACTAGAGGGTTTTGGAAGCCCCCAAACCCCACTGAGGATAGCAGATTTTCTCCCTCCTCTTTGTGGAGCATGCTGGCTTGCTGGGATGGGAAGCACATCCCTTGCTGATCTCTGGAGAGGACACGTGGAAGGAGATCTGTGGAAGTTGCAGGGCTTGAGTGTCCTTTTGTATCCAAGACAGGCCATGGTGAGCTGGATGCATGGAGAACTTCCTCGTCCAGGACCTCTCTGCAGAGACTGGAAGATGATTTGGTCACTCTGGGAGCCTGGAGAGTGGGGCTGAGTGGCCTTAAAATAGAATCCTAGAATGGTTTGGCTTGGAAGGGACCTTAAAGACCATTTTGTTCTCACCCCCCTGCCACGGAGGGGTGACATAAGCTGAGGCATCTCAGATTGCTGAGGGGAAGGCAAGGGGGTGGTTGTGGGACCTCCTGGGCAATTACACACACGGATGGTCAGAGATGCTGCCTGAGTGCCCCGGCGCTGATGCCAGTCTGTCTGGGTTTCTTTAATCAGAGAATTCAGGTCAGATGAGGATAAGATTGTGTTCTAATAAATATTTGTTAGCAAGCGCTTTCCCTTTCCCCCCCCATCCCCCTCGATATTGTTAATTTTCCTTGCAGTTACACGTGCGTTCTTCAGCTTCTGTTGCTCCATGTGTCGTGCTCCGTCACTCCGTCTCACTCGCAGCCACGGAGCGGGAGGAACACTGCCAGGGCTTCTTCTGGGAGTTCTCTCTGGTCCTGCTCCTTCCCTGGGAGTGCTCAACCGATGTGTCTTGTTTGCAGGGGGAATAAAATGCTCAGCTGTCAGCTGCTGAAAGGCCAGTCCAAGACCGAGGCAAGGACCTTTAGCTCCTTCAGCTCCGTGTGCAGGTGCCCACGCAGCCAGGGTAAGCTTTGGGCGGTGACTTTTGGGAGAGGAAGGCTGCTAAGCAGTAAAATGTGACCTTCTTGCCCTGTTTCAAAAGATGTGAGGCTTTGCTTGAGGCGTCCTTGAAATAAAGGTGGATTCCCCCCCCACCACACACCTTTCCCAGGTGCAAAACCAGTGGCTACAAACGGCCCTCTCTTTCTGGAGACGTGATTGTGTTTCCACCGGGTGTGAAACAGAGTTTAAAACCGTGGTTAATTGAAATGCACTGGGGAACGCCTTTTTTTCCAAACACATGCTCTGTTGCTGGAGACAGGATTATCCCTGCCCAGACTGAATGGCTGCAGGGAAGGTGGAACTGCAGTCAGCGCTCTCTGCAGCGCCCGGGCCCTGCGTTGGTTAACGTGAGGCTGAATTTCTGATGACTCAGAAGGGAGCTCGGCTGCCCCTCAGCTGTTTGCAGATCTGAGGATCAGTGGGGATGAACCAGCACTGCGCTGAACAGAGCTGGGACCAAAAGCCAACTCAGCCTCAAAAGTGCCCATAAAAACAAGCAAAGGTTTTTAAGGGTTCCCAAGTGTCACGTTTGCACAGGGCACTCGCAGGCAAGTCCCAGAAAAATAATAAAGTGGAAACCAGGCAGGGGTTCTTGCTGCTTGCTTCAGTTTCTTTCAGGGCCATGTGAGGGAGTGGGGGAAATCTGAACCATCTGATGTATGTTAGTAATGAGAGATATGAATGTTGTGTACAAACAGGGGCTTTACTATTGTAGGAGCTGGTGATGCTGAGTATCTTATATTTTCTGACTTATAATTCCTTCCTGGTCTGGAATCTTCTGTCAAATATTTTTGTACGCAAAGCCTGAGGAATATTTGATGGGAAAGCCCCCTTTCCTTGTGGGGCATGCCTGGAAGCCTTTGCTACCAGGTCACAGCAACTTCAGAGCTCTTGGCCCCCAGACTGGGCCAGAATGAGACAGGATCGGTAAGCAGTGGTCACTGGTTTGTGTAGCTCCATGACCCACACCTATGCCTGCAGCACCTCTGTGCTCGCTCAAGGTGTTTCAGCTCAGCTCTGAGTGATCTTCAGGCTGTTCTCTGAGTTCCTTGACCTGCTTTCTTCCCTCTGAGGTCTTCTCCTGGGTTGTGCTTGACCTGGATTTCTTCTCTCTGAGGTCTCTAAGAGTTGGACAGGGCAGCTGCCCGCACTCAGTTTTAACACCCTTTCCTTCTTGCCTTTCTCTTCCCCTGAGAAAACAGGGTTAATGTGGTTTTGGCTCCTTTTTGCCCACCCCTAATGACTTTCCAGCCTGATGGCTGATTGCAGCTGTTCCTGCCAGAGATCTTAAAGATAACGAGTTCCTACCAGCTTGATATAAATAGATGGCCAGGGAGGAGACTTTATCTTTGCCCCTCTATGCAAGAAGAGTTCAATCCTTATCAGCCCAAGAGCATCTGTGTGTGAGAGAAGGAGGAAGAGAGATGTTATGAGTGCCTGTGGGGGAAACTGTGCTTGGAGACACTATTCTACTGCATCCTGGAGAATCCCACCAACACTTCTAACTCCATGGAAATGGAGGTACTGCTTGTCCTGCTACGGGCTGAGCCCTGTGTGAGGCTTTCTGTTGTTTGCTTTCACCCCAGCCTTTCATCAGAGAATGGAAACGGTGATGTGCGTGGTGCTGCCAGCCTGACTCTGAGGAGGAAGCTCAGGAACAGGAGCCTGGCACTGGAGCAGAGGGTTGCAACCTGCTTCCCAGGGGTGGTGAGGCTATTTTAGCCTCTGCCTAGTTGATGGGACATCTTTCTGTTGCAGCAGCACTTGCTTTCCCTGGAGGATAAACCCCTGTTTCTCGGACGGGCCTCTGGCTCGTCACCCAGCTCCTTTCCTGCCCTCTTTGCCTTCTACAGTAAGCTGTTTAATCAAGGGTGCATCAAAATCCATCTGTCTACGCTGGTGTCAACAACTTGGCTTCAGGGACATTTTAAATCATTTTCTTACTGCATTCTGTAATGGATTTTGTTGCTGAGAGAATGGAAAGCAGGGCAGCAAAGGTGTTTTAATTACATCTGATTGTGGCATCTTGCAGACTTGCCCTGTCAGTTGTTTTGGCACAGCACCATTTAGAGCCTGCTTTTGCCAGCACAGGCACGTTAGCTGGGGATTTACTGATCACAGAGGAAATCATTGCTGTTTCACTCCTGACGTCATCCTGGGGCTGCGTCTTCTTTCTCCACCTTGCTCGTGTGGCACGAACTTCTTCCACATTAGAGGATTTTAGTCCTTCCTTATCGTGTCACTTGGAAGGAGTGAAAACCACAGTTGCCTGCCTGTTGTCTGAGCGTCATATCTGGGCAGAGCAGAGGGGCTTTGCTTGCTCTTAAGAACCTGTGTTGCTGCAAGGGAAACGTCCCTCTGAACCTTTCCCCAGCTCACATCTCGGTTTCGCAGCCTGTCAACGTCAAAACAGCTTCCCTTCCTCTGAATCAACCAGGGGAAGATTGAAATGATGTCTCCAGCAAGAGTATTTGGGGGAAGAAGAGGGGAACGAGAAAGGGAAAGGTCTTGCTGGGCTGGAACACCCTGATCAGCCCCATGGGGCTGGCTCAGCGAGGGGAGTAAATCCTGGGAAAGGCAGGAGTGCGGTAGGTGCAATAAAGCACGTTTTTGGAAGTGCCTGCTCACCACACAAGAGGAACTGCAGCTGGGTACATGTTGGAATGCCAAGAACTATTGTATCTGTCCATGTTTTAGGTGTATTTGCACTGACACTCAGGGCTGGTGGTTTCTGCAACGCTGCCTGTGTGTTTTCTGGAGCATTCAGCAGGTAGCAGCTCCCAGTGCGCATACTTTGACCTGCCCTCTCAAATTGTTTAACAGGCAGTAACTGTTTGAATCTAACCTGGTGTTTGGAGGAAGGAGAATCTGAGGAGGAGGAGGGCAGGGTTAGTGTCATTTTTTCTGTATAACTGCTAATACGTGCTTCCATTCTCACCAAAGCTTTTGGCTCTGATTTAATAGGTGCCAATCCACAATTTTTCAATGCTAGAGCGTGTTTGTGGTCCTGACAACACTCATCTGTGTCACTTCCTCCTCTTAAATGGATATAACCTCAGCTGCAGATTAAAAGTGCTTTGTTTGTGATTTCTAGGTGCTCTAGGCTTGATGCATCGTCTTTCGACAGACACAGGGCAAACTCTGCTCCTCCCTTCTGGCCTGGGTTGCAATGATGGATTAAGTAGGTAAGTAATAGAGTGGTAATGAGATAACCACTGACATCGAGCATTAACGTGGGAATAGATGAAGTTACCATCCAGAACTAATGGCCTGAACTATCACTGGGTTGTAATTAATGAATGTGGTGGCTGAGATTTACAAGGATATTTTAGGATGCTGCTTGCATGCAGCTTTGGGTTTTATGGCTTGGTTGGAGAGAAATCAGTTAATGCCAAGAACTTAATGAATGGGCAGAAGCTGTTCTTTGTCAGTTTGCAGTGCCCTTTTTGTGAAAGAGGCCAGACTGGCACATGTGGAGTATCTACCTTTCCATTACTTCAGGACGTAGAAGAGGGTAGGATGCTGTGGCCTCTGACTCTGGGTCACTCCCTCTTTCAGTGCAAGGTAGCTTCTAAGTCTTGTTGCTTCTGTTTTATTAGGGCAGAGTAGCAGGAGTCCTGGTGCAAACAATGCTTTTGAAGCGAACCCGTGGACAACTTTGCTTGCAGGTGGAAGAGGTTGCTGGTGACAGGAATTCTCCATCCAGGACCTCTGAAGTGAGCAAAGACAAGCTGCCTTGTTCTACCCTGTGAAGGTGGGACCTCTGGTTCCTTCTTCAGGTCTCCTCCTCCCTGTGGCTCTGTCTCCTCCATGTCACCCCCTCCCTTGCCCTGCTCTGGTGTCCCTGTGATCCACTGACCGCCTGCAGCTCTGCATGAGCTTCCTGGAGCAGGAATAGAAGTGTCCAAGCTGCACACAGGCAGTGTGGCCCTGCCCAAGATGTATCCCTGCCTGCTTCCTTGGTATGTAACCCCTCTAAACACTTCTCCATGTGTGTGTAACACTTTGGAAGTGGTTGCTAGGCTCTTGCAGAAAACACAGCAGAGCAGGCAAAATTCTTCATGGTAATTGGTAGGAATACTCCAGCCACCTCACTGCTGCCTCCCTCATCTTTCCATGGCAACACTCTCCCTACAGCAGCCCAGGTGCTTGTGGTTGGATATAGCAGGAGTTTTTTGAGCCCTCCATCTTCCAAATCGTCCCTTGGAGCATGGAGGGAACATCTGTACTTTTAAAGGATGGGCATCATGTGATACATCAAACAGCTTCCCTTGCTCTCACCATATTTCTTTTCCATGCTGTCAGAGACAGAAAATTTTGGAAACGTGCCTGAACTGAACCCTTGCATTTCTTTGGTGGAAGGAGCTGTTGCCCTGTTTTTTGTAATGGGAATGTAAAGCTGCTGAAAGAGTCCTGAATGTTCCCCTTCCTTCCCGTGGCCTCAGCCATCACACCTCTCTGTGAGCAGGAGAAAGGAGCGGGACCACACTCGCAGCATCTGTTGAGGAGGAAGACATTTCCACTTGCTGCGCCAGCACAAGCCAAGACCCTAAAACTGAGCAAAGAAGGGACAGTGTGTTAGGGATATGTACCCTCCTCCCCTGGCCTTGGGAAGTTTATTGCCCTCCACAAAGTACACAGTGTGGTTCTCATTCCTGAGCAGCCCGGGCGGGCTGTTAAATGACAAGGGAAAATTACCCAGTCTGTTCTCCAGAAGGCAAGTGAGTAGGAATTTTCCTCCAACTGATTCAGGACAAAGTTAATGTAGGGAAAGCCATTAAAATTAATGCTGGTAAACAAGGATAAAAACCAGCAGGGTTGTAAGAAAATTTGGACCAGATTGGGTTTCCCAGCTGTCGTGCTGCACGCTGTCTTAAAGGCAGTGGGCGGAGGGAGGGGGTAAGCTGAGCTCAAAAAGCTCTTGCTGGAGGGGGCTGTGAGGTTGGGGTTGGGGCATCTGGGCTTCAGTGCCACCAGCTTTGTGCTCCAGCACTTTAATCCACTCGGGCCCACTGTCACTGTCTGGGAAGCAGCGATGCTGCTTTGTGTGATGGTCGTTCCATGGGGTGTCTGTTTGACTACTCCAGTGGTAATGGGAGCACGCCCAGGTTGGGAAGAGTGAGGATTACTGGGGATGAAGGTCCACTGCACCTGGAGCAAGGCTCAGGTTTGATGCCTGGTCTCACATTCGTTAGGTACAGGCTAAAAGGGGCCCAGAGCATCCCAGGGAAAATATCCTGGCACAGGAGCTGTGTATTATAGCAGTCGTCTAGGTAAACAGCTTTTTCCAACTCCTCAGCCTACTAACATAAGCCAGTCAACTTCTCCAGGACTCCTGGCGCTGGATGTTCAACTGACTTCACACTTTGGAATAGGTCAAATCCAGCATAACCGAGCCAAAATTTCTAGCCCAAGAACTGAAGCAATGGCCCATATTTTCAGGTGACCGCTGACTTGATGTTGCTGGTGAGAAGGGAGAGGTGTAAAAGCAGTCAACCATTTCCTTGCAGTGCCTGAGAGAACTGGAGATTGTGTTTGGAAAGAAAGAAGGTAACAGTCTCATCTCTGAGCACAGCCATCTTCATTACAGATGTACAACACAGATGCCAATATCCACAGAAAACTTCCCAGTCCACCAGTCAGTGAAAACAACAGCAGTAAGATCCTTTGGTTCCTCAAGAAGTATCATATCCCTTACATATCTCCCTCATGAGGCTGTGTTTGCTCAGGTCTGAGTGGTTTTGATGGCTCTGTCCTGGATGGTCAGATTTTGCAGGGTAGGCTGGGGTTTTTGTGGAATCTCCACGCAGCAGCTCACAAAACAAAGTGAAGCTGCTGAGATTAAGGAGCTGTGATGCCTCCAGCCCAGTGCAGAGAGCTAGAGCTGGATGTCTGAAGTCATCTTCATCAAAGAGATGAGGGAGAGTCTGGGCAGGTCAAGACTGATGCTGGAATGGAAAGCAGCATGGAGGGAGGCCAAGAGCTCAACAAAGCTCTTCTTTTTGAGGCCTCATCCCCATGGGAATCCACAGGATGCCTCTGTGGGGAGGCATCAGCCCCTTTTCAACAGGCAAGCTGCTGTCAGGTTGTTGCCTCAGAGGTGGGGAACTTCCTTTTCTTTTTCATGAGACATCACCAAAGAACCAGGGTAACAGAATTATTTTTCTGTGACTATGTGAAACTTTTTTTTTTTTCATTTGGATTATTTGAAAACTAAAACTGTTCATGGGTTTTAAAATTCATGTCCCCTCCAGGTTGCTTTACTTTGTTTTGTTTCTTATTCCCTCTCCCTTATTCCTCAGAGGAAACCATCCAAACCTACACAGTGTGTTATTTCTTAAGGAAATGCAATCGTTTTCCAGTCAAACCTAGGCTAGAAATGCTTCTGGTGATTCATTTGTCTGAGAAATTAAAAAAAAAAAGCTTGGATGGAACAGAAACCAGGCTGGTTCAGGGAGAGTTTTCTTGTGTGTGAAGACCCACTTGAGCGGGGGAGTTCTTTCAAAAGCTTTTTATTGAAAAAAAAATTACAAGTTTTTACAGGCTTTGTTTGGGAGACTTGGGCTCCAGCCATTCTTTTGTTGCTGCTGCTTGTATGGTACCAAGATCTGGAGCCTGGTTGTCTTGGTCCCAGCTTGCCATGCCTGCTGCTTTGAAGGGTCACTGCTTCTGCAGGGTGGGATGGGTGGGCTGGTGGTGATGCCACCTTTGCCTTGGCCACTCTTTGTACCACAAGTCTTTCCAAAGAGCAAGGGTCACGTGGGTGCAGAGCTGCCTTGAGTGCAGCAGGAACCTCCTGCTATCACATGGTGAGGGGTCCAAGCCCTGCAATCGTTGTTAGGATCTGCTCAAGCTCCTTACAACCAACAACCCCTTTCTGAGGTTTCCCAGCATCCAGCAGGGTTCAGAGCCAGGCACCAGGAAGGCAGATTCAGTGGCAATAACCACCACAAGTGGTTGCCCCTCCTTTAAACCAAGCCTGTTTAATGATGTGCTCTTTGAGACATAGCTTTCCGTTCCCTTTGGCAACAAGGAGATGTGGGAAACCCCCAGGCAATGACTGAAATCAGGTGAGCTGGTATGTCCCATCCCAAGAGTTATCCTGGGTTTTGGGGGCTGCTCTTATCATCTCTGTGGGATGTCCCAGAGGTAGCAGGATTGGGGGCAAGGAAACAGGGCTGGCTGGAGGGGCTTGGACAGCAGGGATGCTCCATGGGGGGACAGGAGTGCTGGCACGTGCTGGTGTGACCGGGAGTAGAGCACGATGCGGGCTGGATGGAAGAGAACACCACTCCTGTAGTGACTGCTCTTCAAGCTGCCACCTCTGCTGTGTAGTGCTGGCCAGATCCACAGTGTAACTGCTCATCTCCAGTCCCTGCCTCCCCTGTGTCCCATGTGCTGTTTTTCCTATAAATAGTCCAGTGGGAAGCCGCAGAGCCACCGCAGATGGCCCCCGGTTCCCCGTGCAGCCTTGTGTGAGATCCCAGATAGGAGCTGTCAATTCCTTGCCTCGAGCCACCCATGAAACCTCATTAAAAGTGGTGTCCTCTTCCTTAACCCCCATCACTTCCTCGCTTCCCACTCCGACTCGCCTGCATTCAAGCACCCTTATTAAACATGCACTTCCAAGCAAGGTGCGCTGACTTTCCCTTAATTGAGGCATAATAATTAGAGCATTAACACATTAGGAGGGTGAGACAGCATGTTTAGCTTTTGTGATTAATTATCTGAGGATTGTAATAAGTTGTTAAGACATTAATTACTCTGGCATGTTTATTGCTCTTTATTGCAGAACAGACACTTGGTAGCTGCAAGTGCTGGTTCGTCTGGCAGTGGAGTGAGAAGGGGGCTGGAGGGAGGAGACCACCTACCCACCCACAGTGAGCTGCTGCTGGTGGGGACAGGGCAGGGGCATCCCCTGGCTGTGCCTTGGTGACCAAAACAGGTTTCTTTCTAACAGATGGATATAGAAGTGATATCTAAGTCCCTCAGGACAATCCAGGACCTGGAAGGTCCTTTCTGATCTTTTCACCTGGATTTTTCTCCTCTTTCAAATGAAGTGTTTGCTTCCTGGTGGTTTGAGCTCCCCCTCATTGGGCTCTTTGTGTTGCCAGGTTTGGTCAGTGTGGCTCAGTCTCCCTCTGGATCTTACCAGGAGGGTAAGACAGGCTGAAGTTCAGAGTGTCAGCAGTGGGCAGGGAATGAACCAGGACTCCAGTGCCCTCCCTTACCCCTCCATTGGATGAATTTTCCTCTGGATTTTTGGAAAGTAGGTTGGGGAAGGGTTTGGAGAGGTTTGGGTTGATATAACCTCCTCTTCACACAGCAAGGTGCTCTGTGTCTCCTAGATAACTCCATGCTGGTCAGTAAGATTGGGTCTGATGGCACAGCTCAGGCCTGGAGGATGAGGAGTTCTTGTGCATTCCTGAAACTCTGAGAAAGAGAAGAGGCAGCCAAATCAGCAGGATGACACGGAGGGCCTGTTCCCAACCTTCTGCTTCTCCCATGAAATATTGCTGAGGGGCCCTCCCTGCCCCAACCTCCCCCTGCAGTTACCTGGGCTGGGGAGAACCCTGGAGACACAGTGGCAGTCCCAGCCACTGTCATGGGTAAAGGGATTTGGGAAGATGATGGAAGACAAGAAGACAGGGAAGCTATGGGTGCAGTGTGTTGATATCAATTTCCTCTGGGACCCCTGGACCTGATGTTTCTGGTTTCCAGGCTGTTCTGTGCCCTCATGTTACTGCAGCATGTGCTTGTGTCTCGGACAGCGGCTGATGGACACAGGGGGCAGGAAGGGGGGGCTTTCTCTGTGGCCTCTTTTTAAAGTTAAAACTTTAAAACATCAGTGATGGTCCTGACTAGTCTTTATCCTTCCAGGATTGACCCAGTGGTCACTTTCCCTGTGGCTTCCACCGGCTCAAGCCAGTGTCGCTGTCACTCAGTTGTCTGGATGGCTGGGGAGGAAAAATCCCTTCCCTGCGTACGGTCTGGGATCAGTCCTGTGTCAGCTGAATGTGATCTGCTGCCTTCAGCCCCTCAGAGCCCCAGCCTGCCTCTCTCCAGCCCAGCCTGGGATTGGCATTCACTGTCAGGTACCTTCTTCCTGCATTCAGAGTATGGGATGTGCCAGCCCGGCATTCCCAGCTCAGCTCTTGGGGACAAGGCAGGTCGTGACTTACGAGTTTTAGCATTAAAAAGAGAATTTCCTCTAGATGTGTGCAATAAGACAATGGCACTGACCTGTGATCCTGGCACTGAGCAGCGTTAATGACTCCCCTTTGCAAGTAATAAGCAGCAAATGTACACATTTTGGGGAGATGTGAATATTTTCTTCCTCCTTTTAAGACTGCTGTCTTCCTAGGCCAGACTTAATTAGCAGACCTCATTATTTCCTGAAATGTAACTTGACTTCCATTGAATGAGAATTGTTCGGTGGATGGGGAGCAGCAGAGCGGTGCTGCAATATTCATATTGTTTTAATTGCAACATTAACATTTCATGCCGCTCTTGGCACACTTTCAGGTGCGGCCCTTTAGCTCAATACAACACTGTGAAAGGTTGGATCAGAACAATTAGGATGGAGTGACTGGATTTCTGGCTTTTTTCTTTCCCTCTATTTTAACGAACATAAGCTTGGATTCAATCCCCATCACTCCTTTTGTTGGGCAGAACAGGGAGTCAAACACCCCCGGAGTGTAAATCCTTTTTTTTTTTTTTTTTTTTTTTTGGAATAAGGGATGTGCTGTAGTGCATGTTTGAATTGTCCTTTTGTGGAGCTGAGGGCCCCCAGGTACAAGTGATACGTGATCCACCAGGCTGGTGGCACCTCCTGGGACTTGACCTTTACGGGGTGAATCAGTCAAGTCCCAAAATGCGTGTGGCCAGCTGGGCCAGCGTCACATGTGAGCTGGAGGGAAAAAGGCTGTTTCTCACTTCTCAGTTACTTCCAGGGCTCTGGAAGGCCTGAGGCTGGAAATGACACTGTGAACGGATAATGACTGGGCCAGTGCAGATCCCAAATGAGCACAGATCCCTGCTCTGTCCCCAGATTGCGCATAGAGTTTGGCTTTCTTGCAGCAGGGTCAGACAACTCTGAAATGCTGAGCTCAGCCTCAGCAAGCTCTGGTCACCTTTGCTGCCTTTGTCAGGTACCCTACACTTGCCCTTAAACTTCCCCATGTCAGACAGGGAAGGTGAGTGACAGGAGTTCCTGGCAAAAGCAACTCTGGATTCCACCCTGGAACAGCCTAATGAGGGTCTCCTAATTAGGTCACTGAAAGGGGCTGAGCAAGGAAGGCCAGCCAGCAGCCCTAGTCAGTGGCTTCTTGATGTTGTTCTCCAAAAGTTGTATCTCACTGTGTGAAATGTGAACTCTGATTGACTTCAAAGGAGAACCAAGAGGCTGTTGTGCCCCCTTCAGCCTTTCAGAGGAAGAGGAAGGGTCTCTGTGGCTCCCTCTGTCCTGCTGGGGAAGGATACCCGTGCTGCTGACTCCCAGCTCCGTGCTGGCTCCAGCTTGCAGATCCATATGGGAGCTGGTGTGTGGGTCTAGTGGACAGCAAGGACTTGACTGTAGAGGAACAGGCTCTCTCTCACCTCTAACTCTCAACAAGTGCCACTAATCAGTCAACCTGCTAATGGGCAGCTTGATGTGTAAGTGATCCTGCTCAGAGCTCACTGGGCAGCTGCTCAGACTCTGGGCTGCCTTCCTGGCATTTGCTGGCAGCAGCCTGTGGATGAAACACCTTGCTGGAAGGTGAAATCTCTCTCAGTGTGGCAGAGAGGCAGTGGGAGGGTTGTGGGGGAGAGGGAGCTGGTCTGCCTGTCAGTGCTCCCCCTTGGAGCTGGGCACGTCCCTTCCATTTTAGGCAGCAGCTGAACTCTACCATAAGTGTGGGATGGCAATTAAAGTTGGAAATGCAGCAGGACCTTGGCTTGGTCGCTAGAAGAAGGGCAAGGGAAGGGCACATATTCCATTTCCAGGGCCTTTCCAAAGGCTAACATGCCATCTTAGCCGGCTGGCTCTCCTATGAGCTAAAAAGGCTTGAAACCTTCTCCAGCTAGTACTGTGTGCAGTGGGATCCATGGAATCTCATCTCCTGTGGATATACAGTTTGTGTTTGGAGTCTCTGGTGTCTAGTAAGCTGTTTGTGCTGAATGGAGCATCTCCCCTTCCCGGGATATTTATAGTCTCTCTCTCTCTCCCACGCAGATTGTCTGATGTCTAATAAGGGATGATACACTACAGTTTGGAAGGTGCTAATAATGTCTCTCCTCTGATAGTCTAGTCCCATGAAATTTATAGGCTCTGACTGTCTCCAAGACCTCTGTTTCTCTGTCACATCAGGCTGAGATCTGTTTCCAGTGTCAGAAGTTGCTGGGGAGTGGGCAGAGGGCAGACTGATGCAGCAGGATTGCATATGCTTTGCACTTAGGAAATTAGGCTGAAAACGCGCCTAATTGTTTCCTGCAGATCTGGGGTGGGGGGCAGCTGTGGCTCAGATCCTGGAATTTCGTGTTTGGGAAAGCAGGCTGGTTGTGTGGGAGGAAGGTGATGAGCTCAGAGACTACCTAGGAGGAGGAGAGAGCTCAGCTTCCACTGCCATGCTGTGGGTTCCTCAGGCACATTCGAGCTGCCTGGGGCGACCAGCGAGTGCAGAGCGTGGCCTCTTGAGGGAAACAGCCCTCGAGAAGGATAAACGAGCCAGCCCGGAGCTCCTGGCTGGTGTGAAGAATTGCCTGGCTAAAGGATAATGAATGCCACAGCAGGAGACAGAGCGTTTCTCTGAGGCCATTTATCCCCTTTATCACCCCGCTAACAAGCCCCAGAGTGCCTTCGGAAAGAGTTCTCTGGAGCAGCACCATCCCTCAGCCGTGCTGCGGGCTGGGTGCTGGGAGTCAGGGACACAGGAATCCACAGACCACCCCCCCACCCCAGATAGCAGCCCTGAATTTGGGTGTCAGCAGTGAGGGCAGTGCTGCTTTGCTGGCGTGGAGACCGTGCCCTCCTTCGTGCCGTGCTTGGTGCCACCTGAGAGATCTGGATGTCAGAGCCGAGCATCCGTCTTTTTTAAAAATACTTCTGGGCAGCACCTGCAGCACCCTTGGGAGCACTGCTCTATCCTAACTCCCAGCTTGTCTGAGATGCAAGATTTATAAAGGACCCAGGAGGAGTTTGGGGCCGCCGGCACGGAGGTAAGTTGGTTCTGCTTCACTTGCAGCACAGCTGAGCCTGTGCGTGAGCCTTGTGCGAGGAGAGAAGGGCAGGAGCGATGTGCTCTTGGTAAAGAGCTAATAAAAGCTAATTCATCCCTTTGCTCCGAGACAGTAGGAAGCATTAGCGGCTGGCTGAGTGCCTCCTCCACTGCGGCAGCGTGCTGGGTGCCTCCGCCTTCCCCCTGGCTGGGAGCAGAGCGTGTCCTCCCGTGGAGGGGAAGGCGTCTCCGTCGGAGCTGCGCCGTCGGCAGCTGCGTCAGCAGGCAACCCCTGGGGCTCTCTGTAGCTGGTATCCCTCCTGGGAAGAGAAACCAGCCAGAAAACCTGGGCAGGTGGGTGTGGGAATGAGGATGGACATCCCTCAGGTCATCTGGACTTCAGCTCCAAACAAATGCCTTCGCCTCTGCCCCAGGGCTCGGGCTACAGCTCATGGGAGCAGAGCAAAGCACCATCCCTGATTTAGCTGGGCTGTAGGAGACCCTCAAAAAGGCTGGAGACATTTGTGCCCAAGTGGGTGAATCACCTAACAGCTTGTGTGCTCACCTGTGCACTGCGTGTGCAGGTACGTGCTGTGCCACCCTGCATGCCCACCTGCCAGAGTGATTTGTGTCTGGGGGACAGTGGGTGAGCATCAGGTAGAACTAATTGCCAGTAGCTGGAAGTTTTTTTCTTTTTTCTTCCTCTTTGTTTTCTTAATTTCTCCTTCTTATCCTCCTCCAGGTTTAGCTGCTGGAGGATGCGTTTTGTGTGGTCCACGGTAAGAAGGGAAAGCAAACAGGAGAGTTTGTGTTGTGTTTGTGTGTGCTCAAAAAAATGCTGGTGGTTTTGTAGGGGCAAAAAAAAAGAGAAGAAAAGCTGCAAAGCTTTGCAGATGAAGAGGGCCATGATGGGTAATCGGGTTGTTTCAGTGAGGGCAGCAATAGCAGGGGAGCAGCAGTTGGTGGGGATGGTCTGGAGTGTGTCTGCAGAGCTGTGGAGCAGAGGAGAAAGTGTGTCATGAAGCTGAATGTCTCCTTGAGAGTGAGCAACACACCAGCAAGAAGATTGTAACCCTAATTTTGTCTCTCCATTTTTTTATCAGGAGGTCTCCAAGCATTTTAAAAAGGAAGCTAACACCACATAATGGAAAACTTTGCATCTTCGGGCTTCAGTGACTGGTTTGGAGCCAGCCAGAGAAACCTGTGAGTGCTGAGCCCTCATCCTCACTTCCCAAACACTCGGCACTCCAGACCTTGGCCTCTCTCCCAGGCCCCCGTGCTCACCAGACTGATGTTGGAGAGCTCACTGGAGGCCAGTCTTGTCCCCCAGGGTGGAGGCAGGACATGTTGCCTCCTGTGGCCACTGCCATCAGCTGGAGTGGCTCTGGGAGGGAGGATGCTGGCACATCAAGTGGCCCTTCAAAGTGAGGTTGAATTTATAGGGGTGCACACTGGTCCCAGTTTGTGAGGCTCCTGCCCTGCCCTCTCTCAGCGTTTGGGGAGGAGTTCACTTAGAATTTCAAAACATGTGGTGCTTTTTCTTGTTTTTTTTGCCCAGCACCACTAAGTGTCGAGTTGAAGGGAAATACAATACATCACCTTCCTCGTGGGCTGCCATTCAGCCAGGAGTAACAGAGATTAGCCTTCAATCACACGGGGGGCCAGAGCTGAGGGAAACCTTCCCGAGGACACGCCGGAGAAACATTTTCATTAGTGGAGGAGAAGCTGATGGAGATGGAGTGGCCCTTCACCTCAGCTGCCAGACCTCTCGCCTGCCTGGCGTTAACAGGACGGGGGAGATGCTAATGGAGGAGCTGGTGCCAGCTGCAAGTCTTTAAGTGCTGTCTGCATCCAGATGTGAGGAACAGCTGTGACATAGCAAAGCAGTGCTTTTAGAGCCTGGTGGGGGTGGGTTTGTTTTGGGGTTTTTTTTTTTCCTTGCCTATGAGTGCTCACTGCTGGAAGCAAAGTGGCTCCCAGTTAAAAGGGGGAAATGGGTGCTGGGCCACATACCTGAATGGATACCCTGGCATGGGCCAGAAAATGATGTCCTTGGGTGATAAGGTCCATAGATCCAGGAGATATCATGGCCTCTGCCTCCTGCAGCATGTTTTGCAAGTTTAACAGGACTACCTTTGTGGTAGTGGAGGCTTCCTCTGCTCCGTGGAAAGCCATTCCACAGCCTGCTGTTGCAGGCATTTGCTCTTACTTTGCATCCCCCCAGAGCAGTTGAGGTGCCCAGGGTTCGTTTCTGCTATTGATGTCTCCTTTGTGTTGAAGAAACACCCCCTGGACCCCAGCTGTGTGCCTGGCACAGACCTGTCTGTCCCAGTTACCGGGAATTATCCAGCAGGATCCCTGCAGCCACATCTGCCGTCCCCCACCACCTCACCTCCCTGGGGCTGCCGTGCTCCTGACAAAGGCAGGCTCCATCTCTTTCACTCACAGCTGAAGGATGCCTTGCCTGCTCCTGTCTTGCAGGTTGGAGGGAAATCGTTTTAATTTGTGTGGCACTTTCCTTTGGGCGGGAGGTGGGGGAAGAAAAGGGAAAAAAAAAAAAAATCCAACAGAAACTCTGGCTATTCTGGGTATTTTTAGCTATTTGTAAAGGACCATTAATATCTCTTTCTCTCTCTCTCTCTTTTTTTTTTTTTGGTTTTAAGTCCCTGCAGATCGTTCTCTCTCAGGGGCTGCCTGTGGTGCTGCATTAACATCCCACCTCTGTGGTGAAGGTAAGCAAGCTCTCAGTTTCTGAGAGACTTCCAGGGAGCCTCATCTCTCCTCTCCCTGCGTGCCCACCGTGTGCACAGCCCTCTGAGAAGGGGCTCCCTGGCTGGGAGGGCGAAGGCTCAGAGATATTCACCCCTTCTGGGATGGGTTTTATCAGGAATGGGATTTGAGCTTCCTGAGAGGGAGGCAGCCCAGCCTGGCAGCCAGGGAATTGGGTTGGAAGGCCAAATCAAATGTGCCTTCTGGTTTTGGAGCATTCTCACATTAAGGTACCTCTCACATCACCCTCCTCCCTCTCAGAACTGAGTGCAGCCAAAATGAGAGGAAAACCTGGCTCCTGAGTGTTTTCCCCCTCACAGTGCCTTCACCTGGCTTGTACTCCCTTTTCTCCTACAATCTCAGCTGGCTGAATTTCAGTGCCAGCCTATTGAAAGGAAAGGCACGTGCTGGCTTATGGAGGGAGAGAGACCTGAGACAGGATAAATCTGGAGGCAATGAGATTGGGGGGAGGCAAGTCAGCTGCTCTGACACTTTTATTATGGAGCCAGGCTGCTTGGGAATGAATCTTTCTTGAAATGTGTTGCTGGATGACATTTCTGTCAGGTCTCGGCAGTAACCTTCTCCAAGCCTTGCTGCCCAGCCCTGTGCTTGCCTTTTCCTGGGACAGAGAGAAGGAGTATCAGCTAGAAATGCCACAGGCTCCATACCCCTCCAGTCAGTTTGAAGACTTTTTGGCACCAGAAGCCCTTCAAGCTTTGGTGACTTGCATGTGCATGTGTTGTTTTGCAAAGGAGGTGTCGGCTCTTGTGTTTCTCATTTCAGAAACAATGGTGATATAACAGAGACCGAAATGAAATCCTCCTTGGAGTTGCCAAGAATGATGGATAACTGCAAGAAAATATTATTCTATGGCTCTGGAAAAGGAAGATCTACTCGCTTAGTAACCTGGTAATGAGGTAGTGGCTCTGCTCCGTGCAGAGACTGGAAGCCGGGGGAGATTTGGGGTTACAAAGAGGGCTGGGCAGAGTTTGCTGCCCTCTCAGCTCCTTTCCTGTATCACTGTCAACTTAGATTTCACATCAAGAGGGTGATGTTATGCCTGGCGGTGACAACAGCAGAATGTCACTGGCAGAGGTGAAATCTTTCCCTCCGTGAGGGTAATTCTTCCTTTCCCGTCCCCTTGGCTTATGTCAAGAACCTCTGGCTCCCGGTGCCCAGTGGGCCATGCACACATGGTGCTGAGGGGACAGCACATCCTGTGCTGAGCTTCACTTTTCTTGCTGTCTTGGTAAGCAGCTCTGTGTCACTGATGGCTCTTGGCTGCCTGGTGACCTGGGACAAAGGGAAACCCCTCGTCACTGTCTGAGAGAAACTGGAGCCACGGGAAGCTGCTGTGTTTGCCATCGTGGCAGTGCTGCTCTGCCGTGCTGGCACACTTACATCATCAGCAGTTTTGCCAGGGATGTCCCTTCAGAGACCATTTGTGCTCTTCAGGGGCCAGGTCTGAGCTAGGTCAGGGTCTGAGGGGCAGACTTACACATGTTAGTGGGTAATGTCCCCCACAGGCTGTCTCTCACCTCCTCTGAACAGCAGCTGATCTTGCAGAGTGTGCCTGTGCCCACCCGCTCCGGCAGCCCCTCTGCCAGCTTCTGTCCCCAAGGGCCGGTTCAGCAAAGCTTAGTGTTGTTCTGGGCCCAGCCTTCATTTTCTAGCTGGTTATGGAGGAGAGGATGAAGGTTGTTGCTGCTGCTGCCACGCCACGCCAGAAAACAGGCAGGGGACCGGCCTCTCAGTGCGCTTAAAGATCCAAGAGTTTCATCTGGCTCTGGTTCTCTCTTAGCCCTGAACCTGTTGTATCTTTTCCAAGCCTTTCTTTGTTATTTTTAATTTTTTTTTCCCTTTTCTCCTCACCTTATGAAAAATGGCTTTCCCATCTGCATCTGTCAGGAGTGTGCCGAGCCGGGGGTATGGCTCAGTGAACGTACAAATGCGCGGTTGGACCGTGGCCCCCCTGACAGGCTGGAGATGAATTCCAAACGTGCGGGGAGAAGAGCTCCTGCTGCCTCTGATGGTTGTTTTTCTTATCCCGAGGAGGTGTGAGAATCGCCTTTGGGAGCAGCGCTTCCTTCTGCTCCTGTTCCGCCTTTACCAAGGATCAGTACTCTGCCATCCATCATCAGACGAGCCCTCTCCTCGCTCCCACGTCTCAGCTGCTGGTGGGAGTGCAGGGGAAGGGGGAAACTGTTTCACCCTGCTTTTTACTGCCATCCTTTTTCCTCTCCTTTTTGCATCCCACCTCCTAGGCCTCTATTAGAAGGCAGTTGGCAGGCTGGGTCTGGAGGGCACTTGCCATTGCTCGCTGATCCAGGTGGAGGGGAGGGGATTGTTTCATATAATCGTGGAATATTCTGCGTTGGAAGGGACCCACAAGGGTCATTAAGTCTGACTCTTAGACCTGTACAGGACACCCCAAAAATCCCCCCCTGTCCCTGAGAGCGTTGTCCAAACACTCTTTGAACTCTGTCAGGCTTGGAGCTGTGACCACTGCCCTGGGGACCCTGTTCAGTGCCCAACCATCTTCTGGGGGAAGAACCTTTTCCTAACAGCCAACCTAAACTTCCCCTGACAGAGCTTCATGCTGTTCCCTTGGGTCCTGTCACTGGCCACCAGTTTGACCTTACCCAGGGAGCTTAAGATGTAATTTTGATGGGAATTTTTCAGAGGTGCTGTGCATGGCTCCACGTAAGATGCACTGAAAGCACCCAAGTGCTCCTGCGCGTCTCAGCCTCGCTGTGTCCCCTTCCCCTGCTGCAGGTGACCAGAGCTCTGGGGCTCTGCAAGGAGGAATTCACCATCTCTGAGTTGTGCAACTCTGCAGGTACTCAAAGAGATGACAGCCTGCCCTGACAGCCATGAATTTGCTGAGCTCTTCTCCTGCCTCTTGGCTTTCTGCAGTGAGGTACCCGAGCTGCTTCCCTGGCCTTGATGTGCAGAGGAGCTTTCAGCCAGGTGGGCTCAGAGGAGCAGGCAGGCAGAAAATGAAATGAGTCTCTCCATGCTCTTGCCACAGCTATCTGGTCAAGGAGGAGAAGTTTCTGGGTGGGCAGACCCCCTCTTTGGCAGGAGGAGAGAGCAGGCGGCTTGAGCTGAGCTGGTTTTTCGACGAGCAGATGGATGTTCAGTGGGGACCCGAGAAAACCCTCTCGCTCCAGGCTATCTGTGAGCCCTCCAAACCGGAGCGTTGTGCTGACACAAAGCATCGCTCCGTTGATGCTCAGCCTGAATTGCCTCTTCCAGGCGCCTGATTCGGGACACAGCGACTGTCCCCTCCTGCCACCGGCTCCTGGGAGGAGCCAGATGCCTGCCTGCAACCAGGCAAGGATGGAGCAGGGACCGTGGAGCGGCGAGGAGGAAGAAAGGCGAGCGACGGCAGATTCCTCCGGCATCTCCACGCCGCGGGGCTCTTGGCGAGCGAGTGCTCGTCTGCTTTGAAAGCTCTTAGTGCTCCTGCAGGTGGGAGCCAATTTGTCTGCTTTCCTGCCCAGGTGCCATCTGTTTGTAGGATTGCCTGTGTGGTGGATGAGCACGACGGGGATGGCGGAGGGAAAGGGCTGCTGGGCTGGGAGAGATGAGCCTAAAACTTTCCTTGGGTATCTTCAGCGCTTCTGGCTGCCGTTGTTCCCTCTCCCCTGCGTCGCAGCGGGGAAATCGCAGCCTGTCATTTGCTGTTCCTGGAGCGTGGAGGGGAGCTGAGGCACTGCTAATAGCAAACTATCATTCTAATGCTAATTTCCTACCATTAGCTCAGGCTGGGGGAGGCTCAGCCTGGGTGGAGGGAAGCCATTAGCAGATGGAGAAAGGGGGAGATGTGCTCGGATTTGTTCTGCACCCCCAGAGGGGATTTTCAGAGGGCAGATGATTAACCACCATTGGGCAAACCGGTAACACGAGCTAGGTTCAGTCTCTGGCGGACGTGGGAGGAAGGGAGAGGATGCTTTGTTCCAAGTTGTCCTTCCTTTAGGGACTTCCCGAGTGCTTCAGGCTTTGACTTGAGTTTGGTGTCAGCTGCTTTGTTCCAGCCCTCGTGTGCTGTGACCCAAGGGAAGCTCAGAGCGCTGGCAGGGCTGCAGCTGGGGGCATCGATGTCCTTTCAACAAAGGAGCCAAGCAGGGTTGGGTTTAACTGCTGTCTTTTTGGGAGGAGCTCTTCCCCGTTCAGGAGCCCGGACATCCGTGTTTGGTGGCAGGCTTCGAAGCAGGGAAATTTTGAATCCAGCCTTGAGATACCCAGGAGCTGAAAAAGAAACCTGTCCTTTTGCCATGGGAACAAACCCAGCTGCCCCAGGCTGGAGAGCTGTCAGCAGGAAACCAGGGGCTGAGTTTGGAGTTGTGAAGGAAAATGAACTATTTCCCTGCCCTTTCTAGAGGTGGGCGTGCCTACATCCAGCCTCTTCATCAGTCTCCTCTAGACAAGTGGAGGAGCCCGTGCTGCTCCCCGGACTGGTGTAGGTGCCTGGGAGCTTCTGGGGTGTCTGAAGAAGGTGATTTGCTACGGGAGGACTGTAGGGCCTGTTTGGAATTCTTTGGGCAACAGTTGAAGAGGTTCCTCTACCATTTCTAGACCAGCTTGGAAACCTTCAGGGATGCAAACTGTGCCTGGCTGGGAAGAAACTGGTTGCCTGCTACTGAGGGACAGCGCTGTTTGAAGGCAAGGGCCCAGTAGTGTCCTGATCTGTGGTGTGACACACCTCCTCAAGACCCAGCAGCCTGTCTGTGGTGATCTGGCTTCATCATTTCATAGGGAAGCATACTAGGTTTTTTTTTTTTAAACCCACTTAAAGATGGTTTTAAAACCCTTGTCATCTAGCAGAGATGCAGTGGAGGGACAAAACCAGCCACAATAAACCAGGAGCTGGTTAAATGGCAAAGGGGGAGAAATGCAAGAAGGGACTATCCTGCCAGGAGGACAATAGCACAAGGCTCCATTAGCAGAACATCAGTGCTCACTGTGGTTACCAGCTATCAGATCCATCCTGGTGTGGAGCATGACTCACTCTTGTTTAAGAAGCTATTTCCATCTGAAAAAAAAAAAAAAAAAAAAAGGCTCCTGCCTTTTCGAGGGGCTCTTCCATGCCTTGTTTGAAGAGAGGAGCAAAAAAGTGAAGGGCTACTTTTTCCTAGTCAAGGAGGCTCAAACAAACTTTCCCTCAAGTAGCTGAGCAAGGAAATCAGCACGTTATGTGTTCTCAAGAATAATACAATCAAAGTAGTGGTGGGGGAAAAGAAGAGTAAGAATAAAATAGCATTGCTTTTCCCAGTTCAGCACTTTGAATAATGAGCCTTACAAGGCAGAGGGAGAGCTCCCAGGAGAGGAGCTGTGTACGGGAGATGGACGCAACAAGTGTCTCAGGTGGGCCGGGATCTGAAGCGATCTCTCTCTAATTTTCTACATCAGTGAGAACACAGCACAGCACCATCAATCACAGTCAACCTCCCCTCAAAAGCCACCTCCTGCCTCTCCATATGGCAGGTCCCCCTCTGCTCCTGTCCCTGCTGGGGACCACAGGTGTCCCGGACAGCAGCGCTGCCGGCACCTTCCCTCACAGGAGGGTTCTTCCTCCTCGTGTTTTGAGCCTGCTTGTGTTTCTGCCTTTCTCCTTCTTCCTCCCCCAGCACCTGTTCCTTGCCAGTGCTTCGTTTCCAGATGTGTCTCCCTCTCCTGGAGTCAGGAAAGCCCAAATACTCCTTTAACCCCCCATGAGGAGAAGGTGTGGAACTGCTTGTCCTGGTAAAACCTCTATGTGCTCCCAGGGGCAGGGGTGGGTGTGGTTTTGGTGCCTTTACTGCTCACCTGGGGCTGGGGAGGTGGGACTTTGCAGCTCCCCTGAGGCCATCAGGGCATGTTTTGGGGATTGCTGGTTCTGGGACTGGCTCCTTCTCCCCAGCTCTGGGCATGGAGCACCTAAAGGGGTCATCTTTCATGCTGGGCTGGTGGTGTGATGCAGCAGCTTCTGGTCCCTCATTTCTCCTTCTGTGAAGTCCTTTCTGCTCCTTCCTGGCCCGGCCAGGTGTTTCCACCAGACCAGGAGCAGGAGCACTGGGGATGGGGCTCCTCCTGGGCAGGCCCAGGCCAGGCACACTTCTAGGCTGGCCAGAGGGCTGGTGGGATGGGGGTCTGTGCTTGTGGCTGTTCCTTCTGCTGGAGCATGGACACATCTGGTGGGTTCGGTGCCTCCTGCTTCTTCATCTCTCTCACATGCTCTTGCTCAGCTGTGGTGGTTCTCAGACCTACCAAAACCTGGTTGAGTGTCGTGACACAAACGTGGCTTTACAACCCTGTTTCTGGCTTCATGGGCAAAAGCACCAGCTAGAAAACCAAGGACTGAGCTTCTTTCTTGAGCACAGCCCTAGAGAGGAGCATCTTCTGAATTGCCACCTCCCTCTCAGCCTCTTCACTGGCTTCTGAGAGCTGCAGAGCATCCTTGACCTCTGTCTCAGGCACGGTTTCCTGCATGTATCAGCCCTGCTCTGGTGTTGTGGAGCTATTGCTGGCATCTGTAATAGCTGCGTTGTTTACTTCCCAAGTGCCTGCCCTTTCTGTAATGAGCTGTAATTCATCCTGGTTTATACCGGGCTCAGAGATACCTGGAACAAGGAGGGTGTGCCATTAAACCACCTTCTAGGCTGTTCCCTGGACCTGGGATTGCTGATCTCCTGGAGATGTAAAACAAGGAGGACAAGGGGGACCAGATGGAAATGGGGAATAATTACCTTGCAGGGTTTTTACCCAGGGCTGGCTGGGTTGGCAACTGCTGTGAGCTGCCACGCAGGTGCAGATGGATGGTTACGGCACACAGGGCAGAGGGATGAAAGATGCCTTTTTAAAGCATCTGCCTTCCTCTCTTCCTCTGCTTTATAACCTGTTTTTATAGAGACTGCACGAGGAGCACATTTTTTTTATTAGCAGCTTGGGAGTGGAGAGTAATAAAGATTAATTTTTTTAAATAATTCCTTGCATTATCTTTTAATTTCCTGTGGCAGGGTTTGACTTTTAAATCTGCAAATGGACTTTACTGTTAATGTGCTCATCAGCTCAGAAGCAGCAGCCAAAGGAGCCGTGGGACTCGGTGAAGGTGGGAAAGGCCCCAGGGTTGAGCCTGGAGTCCCAGAAGAGGCTGTTCCATGGGCTAGTCCCTGGCCAGAAGGACCCTTTCAGGTCCACAGCTGTGTCTCCATCCCCCTGGCATTAGGGGAAGGGCTACAGGACTGGGGAGGGGGGAGATGTCAGGAAGGGGGTGAAGTGTGAGAGAGAAGTGACCCCACTGGGGATCTGATAGAAAAGGCTCTCCCTGCCCCTCCCTGCATCCACCCTCTCCTTCCCAGCCTCCATGAGCACAGACCTGATGCACTGGTGGGCTTTAACCTGCTTGGGAGACTGGCTTACACTGGAGCTGGACAGAAGTGATGCCCAGCATGCAGAGAGCCCAGCCCCAGCTTACTTTGACTTTTCACAGCTTGTTCTGCATCACACAGCCACGCTGGTGGCTCAGATTTGCTCTGAACTTCTGATCCATCTGAGAACGTGAAGGAGGCAGAGAGCAGCTGCGTGGAGAACCAGCCACTGTGGACTGGAGAATTTTGGCTCACACAGGTACGAAAGCAGCTGTAGCTCAAGTGCCTAGTGTGGGAAGGCAGAGCTGAGGGAATGGGGGAGCACAGCTGGAGCACTGGTGGAGTCCTGGAAAGGCATTTAATGGGATTACATCACTGCAGTGTTGGAACCAGGACTGCGATGAGGGTTTATGGAGGTGCCTGGGAGCGCTGTGACCCAGACTGCTCCTGGCTCCCTGTGCCAGATGCCATCTGGAGCAGGCTCTGGGCACGTCTGGGTGTCTGTGTGGCCTGGCAGCCCTGATGGCCAGCTCTGCTGACCCAGCGTGGGAGGGCTGTGCTCCCCTCCTCCTAATGCTTGGAAGAGCGTGTGGAGGATCTCCAGGCTTGATCCAGCCTCACTGCTGCTCCCACACCTCCCCTTGCTCCTGGGAAGAGGAGAAGCCCACTCAGCCCATCCCCAGGGCGGCTGGGCCGTGCCAGGTCACCTGTGTTTGTTGGCATTTCGCTGGGCAAAGCTGTCCCGGGTGAGGTCTGGGTTTGTGGGCACAGGGCAGGGGATGTGGAAGGGCTGCCTTTGGATCTGTGTGACTGCCTGGCACCAGGAATCCTGCCTGCAGCAGCAAATGTGGTTTGGGTTCTGGTTTTGCTCTTTGGCAGCCGGCTGAGCTCTCGTCCTGCTGGCCAGGCGTCATCCGACCGCATCCTCCAGTGTCTGAGGGAATGCCAAAAAGCTTTGGTGCCTGTGGCTTGTGAATGTCGTGGGTGGGAAAGCATTCCTCAGCCCTTTCTTTGGATTCTCCATCTATTAAAGGCTTGGACCATAAAAAGGACCCTGCCCTCTGCCAGTAGAAGATGACAGAAGTGCAGTGTGGATGCTCCTGATCTCAGGAGGGAAACTGAGGCACAAAGATGTGACTTGATGCCTGTACAGCTGCCAACCCCCGTGTCCCAACATGCTACAAATAACTACAGCTCTGAGTTGTGTTTTTCAGCCAAAAGAAGCATCATTTGGTAAAGTTCCCAGGCGTCAGGAAAACGGGGGGGAGGGGGTTGCAGTCCCTGATTGTCAATATCTGTCCAAATGCAGGAGCCTCTGCCGTTGTGGTGGGTTCTTTTTATACCTTCTGAAGTTACAGAGAGAAAAATGGAAATAAAAAGCAACAGGGAGAGAGCTGTTAAAAAGCTTAAAGCTGTCACAAGGCATTGGTTAGTTTATGTGCAGTGAAGTATACAAACAAGTTTTCAGCTTGTTGGTTGCAGCCGAGGAACAGGCTTCTTTTTTTTTTTTTTTTTTTTTTTGGTGTGTGATAAATATGTTTTATGGGTCTTTTATGGGATTTTTTTTTTTTTTAAAATGCCTGTCCCAATAAATTATTTACCAGGGTAATAAAAGATCAAGGAAATTGTTTCAACCGTGTCGCTGAGCATCTAAATCCCAAACTTTTACTGGGGTGGAAGGACCCTCTGAATTCCTGTGTCCTTATGAAAGATGGTCCAGGTGTGCTATGGTGTTCTTCTGGAGGCCAGCTCCCCAGCCACACTGACACTCCATGTATATCCAGGAGGTCCCAGAGGCCTGATATCGGTTTTCCATGCCCTCAGCATCTATTCCTGGAGATGAATAGCGTTTCCCTCCGCCGCTGCAAATCTCTTGATAGTGCCTGACTCTTTATTTTAGGCTTCCAAAAGGCCTCAGAAGCTTAATGGTCCTTTCTGGGGTGAAGTGGGAGGTAGGAACCACTTAGAAAGCGGGGAGGAGTTTGAAGAGCATCCTTAGCTCCTGCAGCACGGGCTGGAAAGGCAGCCCTGTCTTCCTGCAGGCAGCAGGGACCTCCTTCCACCCCAGGTGTCTGGATGGGTTTGTTCCTCCTTGCTTGGTATCCATCTCTGCAGAGGGGAAGGGGCAGGTTCTGCCGGCTTGGTCTCCATGGCAGACAAGCCCAAAATAGCCTTTGCGGAGGTGAAATAAAAATTGACGCCGTTTCAGCCACAAAGTCTATAAATACGTCTTTCTTGGGCTTTGAGGTGTTGTCAATCCCTCTCTCTTCTCCTCCCAAGAGGAAGGAAAGGGCTTGGGGTCCTACTGAAGGTTCCCCCCTCAGGACAGGGTAAATGCTTTGGCTACAGCCCAGATTTTCTGTAGTAAAGTGGGATTAGGTGTTACCCCCAGTATGGTTTAAAAGATATCCAGTTGTTAATGTGTTGGGTTTTGTGAGGACTCTGTTTGGGAAAGATGCATCCCTGTGTGGTAAGCTGGTCATAAATAAATTTAGATGGGGTTTTAGAAGCAATTTCTGAGGCTTGAAAGAGATCCTTCTGGAGTGGCCTTCAAAAGGGCTGGTGGGTGGGAAGGGACAGCCACTGTTTCAAGATAGCTCTCAATATTCATGGGAAGGATTATTCACTCAGAGGCTTTCAGAGGGGAGAGTCCTTTCGTATCTGATGTGTTGAAGCGAGACCGGATTGATCTTTGTTTGTGCTGTCTTTGGCTTATGTTAATCTCTCGCTTCAGGGTGTCTGCTCTCCTCTGCAGGGTCCAGGGAGGAATCCTCTTCTCCCTCGGTGCCTAATTTGGCTCCTGGTGGTGGTCCTGTCTCTCTCTGAGGTGGTGGAGAGTGGCCACATCTGGGGACAGGGAGCAATTTCCTTAGTCAGCCAACAGGGAGCACAGGGCTTTATTTGGCTTCCTTCTGGTGCCTGGAGGCTTCCTCAGATCTTACAGTTTTGTGCAATAATTCCTCCGCTGTCACGAGGCTCCAGGAAATTCACAGGGCTGCTAATCTTCCTTGTTTGCTTCCTATGCTATGTCCCAGTGGTGGCTTTTGGACTTCCCTTGGGCTGGCCCTGCAGCCTGAGGCATGGCTGTGTCTCCAGGTCTGTCAGAAGCACTGGGATGGAGATCCTGGGCAGCTCCTGGATATCCTGCTCTGCCCTTCTGCCCCTCTCATCTGAGAGCTGGGCCAGCAGGAACAGCCCTGTAGCATCCATTCCCTGGTGGCTGCCAAAGTTCTGGGGTGTGTTGGCTGCACCCCAGAGGGTGTCAGTGCTGGTGCCCACTTCTGCGAGTGGGCTAAGCCAGGCTGAGGGCTCCAAGCCCGTGGATCCTTGAGGCTTTAGCCTGGGAAAAGTTTAAATTAGTGCTGTGTGCTGTAATGAGGGATGTGTGCTGGGGTCAAGGCCCTGTGGTTTGGCTTTTAGGCTGGCAGCTGGGGACCAGGTTTTGGAGCAGGCTTTGCATCACAGGGAGCAGAGGCTGGAACAGTGTCTGATGTTCGGCTTGAAAGAAGAAAAAAGGACTCATCTCCCCACATCCCTCTTATTAATTATAAACACGTCCTGCTAGTTTGGGAACGGATGCCGTAAATGTAAATGAGGGTTGAGCCGGCGCAGGGCCGGCACAAGAGGCCCGGATGGTGTGTGTAGGCCAGGCTTAGCATCTCCTCCTGCTCGCTCCAGACTATGCAGCACGACTCCTCTGACTCCGGTGGCATTTCCTCCTGGCTCTCCTCCTCGTGATGGGAATTGGACTGCACGTAATTGAAAAGGATGGGGCCTCTGCCAGCAGACTGTGAGCCACATTCCCCTTGGCAGCTTGAGCTCGCTGGTCGAGGACAGGGGAGACAGGCTGGGGCAGACACCTGTGCTGGGGGGTAGATGAGCCTCAGCATCGCGGGGATCCCAAATCCATCTCCGTCTGAAGCTCTCCGGCCGTGGTTTCCCGCTGTGCAGGGGTTGCCCGTGCCCGGAGGGGGGACTGATGTCTCCAGCTGCTGGTGCGTGAGCAGTAATTTGCTCTCACTCGTGATCTCCCCCACACTGGCACCAGGACAGACATGTGAACAGCTGCTCCTCCAGCAGCTTTCTCAACCAAGGACTTGAACTTGAAAAGCATCCTGTGATCCGTCCGGCTGCTGCTGACCCCGGGCCTTGCACCCCTGCCCGAGCATCAGTCGAGAGCAGCCGAAGGAGGCAAAAGGCTCCTGGGGTTTGTGTGGTCCTGAACGCTAACAAGAGCTCGTCACACACGGACGGTGCAGGGGGCCTCGGTGTAAGGCCAGCGATCAAGATGCGAGGGCCTTCTAAATCCGGCACCTACAAAGATGCGGGAACAAAGCGGGGGCAAGGATCTGCATTTCAAAGAGGGTTGTTTCTGCAGCGCCGGGGCTGCCGTGCTCCTGCTGCCAAGGCAGAGACCAGGCTGTTTGAACCGCTGTCTCCGTGAGCCTGTAAACCACCAGCTCCGCGCTCGGGGCACGGTTAAAGGAAAGCTTTATGACCCCGCACTAATTGTGTGGTTGAGGTGAGGCCTGCTGGGCACGGCTCTGCCTTACACGGGTTGCAGCAGATGAAGACGTCTTGGAA